CATATAGACATGAATTACAATATATGGAGCATCAGATCATTAAGAAAATATCATCGCTTAACCACTTCGACAATAACGACGACAATGGCGTCGACGACATCGTAGAGCATAACAACACCACTAATAAGCAACACATGAAGAACATGACGACATCCCTGTCGGGACACTCGTCGCCAAAGGGTAATAACATAGCGAACCTGACGGGCGGCGGGTCGTCCCCATCGGGGCCGGTGTCGCAGTCGCACCAGACGTCCAATAATAGCAAATGGATGTCACATAATATAAATAGCGTCAACGGCGTGGTGTCGGGTGCGGGCCCTCCCTCTGCCAACTCGTCGAATAATATGTCTTCGACTGCGAGTAATAACTCCAATACCGGTACCACTAATAGCGCGAAAAAAGCCAAAAATATTGTCGCCAACAATCTGTCGGCCGCTGTTAAGGACGACCACTCACTCAGGTATGGGTCACTCATATGTTTGGCATTTTGATTGCACTGTTGTTTAGAAGTGTTTGTTTGTCCGTAAGCTTAAAAGTAGTAGAAATTGGTGCTTGGTGCTAATTTAACAAAACACGTACAGTGCACACCATTTATAAAATAGACAGTTTTTTGAATTGTTTTTTCAAACTAATGTATGTTTTATTTGTGACTAATCGGAAGGCAGTAGTAATTTATAAACTTTTCACTCAATTGCATGTTCACTAAATTAGGCAATGCTGTACTACAGCTATAGTTGATTGTGTTTGTATGAAAAATGGTAAATACTGTAGATAATAATGATCGAAACACTCGTAATATATTTATCTATCATTTCGTTAGCATTTGTTAATTTGTTGGTTAACTTATGTGTGAATGAAATGATGAGATCAATGGATGAAAGCATGGGATTAATGTTATCGAAATTATCAGATAATAAACGGTTGAACACACAAACTATAGATCCATAAATTGATTGTCTAATTGATGGCAAACTGTTTGCACGAATAGGTTGGAAGCGGACATAAAGCGCCTGAAAGCAGACCTACAGGCGTCCCGTCAGTGTGAGCTGGACCTGCGTTCCCAACTGAACGCCATTGTGGTGGACGACAAGTCCGTGAAGAACGAGTTGTCACAACTACGACAGGACAATGAGAACCTCCAGCAACGGCTCCACAATCTGGTGACCGCTAAACAACACGACAAACAGACGATCCAGAAGTTGGAGAAGAGTTTGGACGACGAGAAGAAGCGACTGAAAGCCAATCTGGAGATACAGGTGACCAACGAGAAGAAGGCTAAGAAGGCCGAAGAGGTGGCACAAAGGGCTGCCGCTATAGCCGCCGCCCAACGGTTCGAGTGCGCCGACAGTTGTAAGCAGAAGCGCCGGGAGTTAGACAACGATCTCAAACAACTGCAGCACGAGTTGAAGCTGAAGGACGAGCAGCTGAAGCAAAGCGAAAAGGTTTGTATTGCTTGCTACCCGTCCTCCCGTTCCCTTTGTCTGATGTGTACGTGTGTTGTGTAGGCTTTGCGTCAGTACAAGAATTCTCAGACGGACGCCGAGGTGTTGATGTCGGCGCTGTCGGCAATGCAGGACAAGAACTCGCATCTGGAGAAGAGCTTAAGCGCGGAGACGAGACTTAAATTGGATTTATTCTCAGCTCTCGATGAGACCAAACGCCAGTTGGAGATGACGAGAAGTAAGTGTTTGTGTGACCACTGATGAGATAATGTCTGATGTATTGATTGATTTGTCAGTGATTTTACTGCAACGCGAGAAAGAGATCGACGAACTCAAGTCGAAGATCGCCGAAGTGATGGCCGTCATGCCGTCGACACCGAACGGCAGTTACGGCAGTCTCTCCGCCGAGCAGTCGATTGTCAATAGTTTGCTGCCTGTCTTCGGTCACAACAGCTGCCATAACAGCCATAACAGCCATAACCACAACAATCATCACCAAAAATACATGCAATCGATGGTGTCCTCCAATGATGACCACATGATGTCGAATGTGTCCCCATTAGACCCGAACGCCTCGATCTATACGCCCAAAGTGGGCGGCGCCGGCAATTCCGGTTCACCCGATCTCTAAGATCTATATATATATATATTTTTGTGGACACGACTACTCTCTCGACTTGTGGGCCGACTCGCGCGTATGACTTCACCGCTTATTATAGTCCGACCATTGGTTCTCTTCAATTGATTATTCAATTTAATGGATAAGACTTTGTGTTGATGTTTGTTCTCATGAGATGTATATCTAAATCGTAAACAAATTTATTTATAATTATTTTTTGTTTTTCACGCCTCCTTTCGTGTCCACTGAAATGTTTAGCGTTTTTGTCGTCAATATTTCCCCCAAAATATCAATTCAAATCATTGACTGAAAAAAATCTATTTGACAAACCATTGAAACAATTATTTATGAGTTTTTGTGAATAAAAATCAAACTTTTTGTTCGCCTTTTTTGAGTTTTTGATTGTTATTTAAGTTTTATTTTCATTTGATTTTGTTTTTGTTTTAAGTTTGCATTTGATTACCCGATGTTTGGATTGACATCACTTGTAGTTATGTTATTTGTACCGATTGATTGGATTTTGATTTTGTGTTTGATTTCTACCGTAAAATCTTTGGTATACTGTATAGACCCTGAGCATTTTGAGTGAATGATTTGTTTGAAAGGTTTGATTATTACAGCGAATGTTTTGTTGAAAGTATTTTCGGTTTTATTTTCTCATGTGATTTGACGCACAAATAGCCGTCATATGAAGTCACGAGTGAGTGGTCCGCACCGGTATCCGAGAGTACATGTCCCGCGAAATGAACAAAAAAAACGGCCAAACATTTGGTCGACACTCGAGGAACAAATTAACCCATAATTTGATATTTATATTTAATAAGTACTTAATTACCGTATAATTACTTAAATACCTGTTTTTAATTCAATTAACGCATATCTGGTTTAAGTGTTTTTATGAATACACTCGAGGAACAAATTAACCCATAATTTGATATTTATATTTAATAAGTACTTAATTACCGTATAATTACTTAAATACCTGTTTTTAATTCAATTAACGCATATCTGGTTTAAGTGTTTTTATGAAACTCCAACAAAACATACAAATCCCGCGAAACATACAAATAATTAAGTGTCGATTGTATTGATACCTAAACAGTACAGTGAATACAAGAGAAACTCCTATCGATGATCATCGGTTGAGATGAGATACCACTTTCCGTACCGCGAAATACCATTCATTGGGCGACTAAACAGTCTTTCAAATTGAATATCTCTTTATATTAAGCGACGATTTTATTATCAAATAAAACAGTCATTATCTGTCTCTCCATTTATATATGAATGTAATGTAATTATAATTATTATATAAGAAAACAAATTAACATAAACTTATAAACACACGCTATAAACGCTATGATTATATAAAATTAATTTCATTATAAAAAACAAAATCTCTTATTCTGGCCATAAGTGTTACCACAATATTTGTGTCTTAATAACAAAATAGTGTCCAAAAAAACAGCCGATACAACCAGACAATCGGCTTATAATTTGCTTTAATTGTAAAACTAATGGCTTAACAGAGAAAAACCATAATTAAAACGATTGACTCAATTGATTGAGTCGTTGAGAAAAAAACTTTTTGTTTTCTATAATTCATTAATTCGTTTAGCGGTTGGTTAACCACTTTTTACATGCACTACCCGTCCCATCAAATCAATAGTCATTCACTTATCGTATAAATTATTAATTAGAAAAATAATCTTAATTACAATACAACTAAAATACAGTTTTGGGTATAAGTCTGAGATAAGAGTACCGGTGCTGTCAAGTGTCCACTTTCACCCCTTTATTACACATGCATTTCAATTGATTCAATCGTTTGTTTTCTAAATACAATAAACAATCAGCGATTCGTTGACTTCTTGTAGACCTCGTGGCGTCCAATCTATCATCGATGGTATCATCAGCTGATTCTTCGATGTCATTAAGCCGTGATTCGTACAACTGTTTGGCATTTTTAACTGATCCACAATTGCGTTGATAATAAAGAATGGCTGAGAATAAGTCCCAAATCGTGAACTCTGGCCACAAGACATCCGCGAACGCTATCACCGAAAAGCTCGTCTGCCATAACAAGAAGTCACTCAAACGGGTCTCACCACTGGTGCGCACCAGTAGATCGGGATCTGACGACTGACTCGTGTACAAGAACTTCGATATCAACGACTCGTTGATATCCGACTCGCGGATGAGACCATTTCGGACACATGTCTGCAACTCTTGGAGCGCTTCCGTCATCTCGTGTCTGGAGGCGTAGGGGAAGCAGATGTTGAGCACTTTGTGTCGATTATCTTTGGTCAACAGGACGATCTCGGCCACCAATTGCTGTATGTCTGGAGCCAATAGCGAGAGATCGCCGATCACTCGGACACACTTCCCGGTGTCCATCAGTTTGTGTCTCTCGTCCAACAACTTCTGAAACATATCTCTCGCGAAGTCCATCAGTTTGTTCACCTCCGAGGCCGGTCTCTTGAAGTTGTCGATTGCGAACGCATAGACCGTCACCTCATCCACTCCCAGCTCCAGACACCACTCCAGTGTCTGCGCCATGCGGTCGAAGCCCTCTTTGTGGCCATCGATGGTCTCGACAGATGTCTTGCGGGCGTACCGCCGGTTGCCGTCCATAATGAAGGCCACGTGTCTGGGAATGGGTCCGCATCTCAAGACATTGATACACAACCGCTCGACCAGCGATGGCTTGTTGTTGTCGCTGAACCACGACCTCATCGGTGATGATATCACTGCACACTTGGATCAGTCACTCAAATCATGAATCACACAAAATCTACACGCAATGCATGAGTGACATTGCATACGGCACTCATGTTTGGCACCTTTTTATGTAATGCATTTGTGTTGCATGTAATGCACCTTTTGTAAGCATAAAAGGGCATAAAATGTGTGCAATTTTTAAAGTTTTATTTTTAGTAAATTTTGAATATATATACCAAACCTTTACAGAAATTAATTTATTTAGCAGGGTAATTAATATTAATTTAGATTGAAATATTTTGCGGCGATATAATTGTTATTGAATTGAGCATGGTATTTCTAAATTATAAAACTCAGTTTAGTAATGATGTCTACGAGCGGGACATTTGTGTCAATAACGTCCCCTTCTATTGACAGACATTTGACATACTCTATGGGATACAGACAAGTCTCGCTATTATATGCAATATGGTATATATTATCGAAACTATTTATACAAATACAGTGATAACTGAATTAATACCGATATTAATAACACCAGGATCTATTTAAATTATCATTACAATTAGTCTTACATGAAATGAACTGGTTCACATAAGACACCATAGAGTACATGTATGAAGAATGTGTGCCTAATAGCGAGAGTCGGGTGTATTAGTATGTATGCATTGGTAACCATTTTGCTATAGATTCGCATTATTGCGCCCTTAGTGTACATTCAATGCATTTGTTTGCCTCTAATCTCCGTACAGTCTGACTGTAGGACTGACTCTGAGTTTGTGAACTGAATTGCAAATCACTATTTCGTCGTACAGTGAGTGAGTGCTACAAGCAGTGGAAATATCGTTGATTACTATAGCGTTGAATGCATTGAACGCTATTATTATCACTACATGAACAGCAATAGTAATACCATTGCATTGAATACACAACCAATACGTTAGTCAATGATTGCATCCATCGAGTGGTGATCGCATTGGTTGAAGCGGTGGTCATCCAAGACATTCAGTGACGCCATTACTCACGCATGTGTTGATCCCGTGGCCGCCAGTGATCATGTCTTCGTCGCCATCGACAGCCAGCGTAGAGTCAGGTAATGGCAGTGAACTGTTGTTGTGATCACTGACTGATCCCATTGTTTACCATGACATCCAGAGCTCTACTACTTAGTGGCTAAGTATCTGGAGAACGGGCCGTGTCGTGGATCAGCTGAACTGCTGAAGAGGGAGATCGAGGAGAACGCACTGCTGCCCAGACGTGTGGACTGGACGGGTGGCGAGCACTCGACCACTTTCCAAGACGTCGACCGCCAGAACAGTCACATATCAGCCACACATCTGCGCCGTATCGTCGACCGCATCGGCGAGCTTCTGGAGCGAGTGGTTCCCGCGTCGGTGCCGGGCGTGCGCTCGCTGTTGGGCACTGGCAAGCAGTCCCTCCTCAGGGACATCGACGCCACCCATGGATCTAATGTGAGGCCCAATACGGCGCTGGCGTTGAGCTGCTATCGCAATGGCGCCCAACGCTTGCCGTCGGCCGACAGAGTGGCCGGACATCCCTTCAACGCCACCCTATCACTGATTGGTCGCGAGAACAGTGGGCCCTTATCTCAGCGCCAACTCCTGCCCACCAAATGCTACGACAGATTCATTAGATATCGTCGACTCTTAGGACATCTCTCATCCGTATATTGTGTCTCATTTGACAGAACCGGACGCTATATCTTCACTGTATGTCTTCATTGGCTTTGGTGTCTGTTTATGTGCTAATCGTTTGTTTGTGTCTTAAGGGCGCCGACGACTCGCTGGTGAAGATATGGTCGTCATCTGACGGCCGACTCTTATCCACACTTCGCGGTCACATCAATGAGATAACGGATCTGACCATCAATTACGAGAACACGTTAATAGCGGCCGGAAGTTGCGATAAAATGATCCGCGTTTGGTGTCTTTCGACAACGGCGCCCATAACTGTGCTCTCGGGTCACAACGCGTCCATCACTTCCGTCAAGTTCTGTCCGTTAGCTCGCGATGAGAACCGATACCTCGTGTCCACAGCCAATGACGGCTGCGTCTGCTTCTGGCGCTACAACGCGACTCTGTGCTCTCGGGTCACAACGCGTCCATCACTTCCGTCAAGTTCTGTCCGTTAGCTCGCGATGAGAACCGATACCTCGTGTCCACAGCCAATGACGGCTGCGTCTGCTTCTGGCGCTACAACGCGACGACCAATGAGTTCCAGACGCAGCCCAAGAAGTTCGTTGAGCGCCACAAACCCGGCTCACAGTTGGTGTGCTCGAGCTTCTCCTGTGGCGGCGTCTTCTTAGCCGTGGGATCCACTGATAACTACCTCCGGGTCTATCACATCACAGCGCCGGCCGGTCCCACGAAGATCCTGGAGATCGAGCAGCACTCGGATCACGTGGATTCGCTGCAGTTTAGTAACTTGAGTACGAGGTTTGTCAGCGGTTCCAAGGATGGCGTCGCCCACATCTGGTTCTTCGAGCGCCAGCACTGGCATAACATACCGTTGAAGATGTCTGAGCGCCTGCCAAACGCCACGGCACCGGCCAATGACACGGAGGTTACCCGCAAAGTGAGGGTATCGATGGTCGGCTGGACCTGCGATGATGTCCACGTGATCACCAGTTTAAGCGATCACTCGCTGAAGGTGTGGTACTCACAGACGGGTCAACTGAGACATGTCCTCTACGGTCACGAGGACGAGGTGTTTGTGATTGAAGCGCACCCTAAGGACAGTCGGCTGTTCCTGAGCGGCGGACACGACGGCGCTATTATATTATGGGATGTGCTCACAGGGAATGCCATAAAAAGCGTATGTATTTGACAGTTTTGTCTGACATGTGATGTACTGACGGAATGGTATGTTTTTATTTGTTGGTGCAGTTCTACAACTCGATCGATGGTCAGGGTCATGGGGCTGTGTTTGACTGCAAGTTCTCACCGGACGGCCTAATGTTCGCGTCGACCGACTCTCACGGGCACCTGTCGTTGTTTGGTGTGATGTCCCACAAACCCTACGACAAAGTGCCGGATCAGGTGTTCTTCCACACCGACTATCGGCCAGTCATTCGAGATAACAATCACTACGCCATTGACGAGCAGACCCAATGCGCGCCACACCTCATGCCACCGCCCTTTCTGGTCGACATCGATGGTAACCCATATCCACCCAATTATCAACGCCTAGTGCCCGGCCGTGAGAGCTGTTCCGATTCACAACTCGTGCCGTATGTGGCCGTACATAACGCCAATGGGAATGGTATGTCCATTGAAAATATTGTAGAGAATTATCATTAAGTTTTGGATTCATATCCCCAGACGTGGCCGAAGTGTTAGCACCGGTAGAAATTCCAGGCTCTCAACCACAACCCTCATCGCCCCAACCCCTTGCAATCCGGCCCACAATCGACGATATGATACAACGGCTACAGCGAGAGCAGCGCCGACTCACTCACGAACACGACTACACCGCACAGCCACCGCCCGGGTATCACGACCCGCGAGTTGGCACTGGTTTTGGTGCCGGCGCTGAAGCTCACAATCAGTCCCCTCAACGGGCCCGGCACGCCTCTGGTCAGCGAACAGCGCCAAGGGCTGCGTGCCCAAGACATCTCCCACAGGCTGTCGGCCGTTTGAAGTACAGGGCGCTGGCGCTTGAGTTGGTTTACCAAGGGCACACCCGGTTCTTCACACACCACGCTGGGGACTGTGGGACCGAGGCAGAGATGGCTAAACAGAAGTGTATGTCGAGCGCAGAGTCGGAAGAGATATTCTTCAATAAAGAGAGGAGAAAGAGACCACAAGTGGAGGACTCGTCCATAAGTGTCAAACAGGCCATCAAAGAGGAGAGGTTTACGCGACGGAAGCGTCGGATTATTCAACAGAGATCAGGGGTCAGGCAGTCGGGACTCCCGAGGGATCGGTACGCCCGCAGACCCGATGCTCGACACGGTATCACTGATTACGAGAATCCCGAAGATTTGAGTGACGATAGCGATAGTGATTTCACTGCCGATAAAGAGTGGGCCGACACATCGAACTCATCCGAGAGCGAGACCGAGGACTCGGAGTGGGATCAGTGTCTGCCCTCCACGTCCAGGATTAGAAGTAGGACTGCCAGCAGTGGTAGCGATGAGGAGAGGGAAGGAGGCAGTGGTGAGCGATCCGAACGACCCGTGCGGTCGAAGCGCTTGAATAACTTCCTCCTCTTCTTTTACTTCCTTGCTTACTTTTCTGTTGTCAACCTCCTCTTCATGTTGAGCTAATTTCTTGAAGGGCTACTGAAGTCTGGAGGCCCATTCAGCACAAAGATACTGACGTAAATGAAATGGTTTGGTATGAATTGAATGTCTGAATGGTATGTCTGTTATGACTGATAGACTGGTTCACAGACGTTCACCCGAAGAAGACGCCATACTTTCCCCAACCGGGCGACGAAGTGGTGTACTTCCGGTCGGGACACCAACACTACATCGACAAAGTGCGCGAAAACAAGATCTACAACATTAGTCCCACTATAAAGCCATTCAAACAGAGGGCCTCTCAGAGGGATGAGGTGTTCGCCAAAATAGAGGACATTAAATACGATGTGAAACCCCCGCGACTCGTGACCCTTAAGCTGGTTGTGCTCGACATTGAGACCTTTGAGCCAACGAATGCCCACTTCATGGTCCGCTACCACGACGTGGAGAATGTGGTGGACTTCATAGTGTTGAGACAGATGTACGACTTGTCGGTGGAGCGGAACTGGCAGGTGGGCGACGAGTTCAGGTCTATCATAGACGACAACTGGTGGTTCGGGTGCATAACGTGCCTCAAAGAGAGCCAACCCTTCACCCAATTCCAGTGTTTCGACGTGTTGTGGGCTAACGGCGACACAGAGTCCCTGAGTCCGTGGGATTTGGAGCCCATTAATCACGAGACAGTAGGGCTGCTATCCTGTGTCTCACGCGAGTAGTGGCTGCTCCTCTTCGCCAACAAATTGAAGAAGTTGCTGCTCCTAACCGGGCTTACACCGGTTCTTCACCTCACAGTCGCCTATGATTGACCACTCACAATTGTCTAATTGGTTACCTCCGATGACAGGTGTGTTGATAACGCGATGACTAATGCAATGAATGGTGTGTTGCGTTAGGTTTTCTCAAAATAATGGAGTCATCGCTACGGCTTCTGAAGAATCACGGCCAGCTAGAGTTAGTCGTAGGCCACATGCCTTACTACTAGAGTATGGGGTACCTGAACAGCTGGTAGTCTGTCTCCGACCTCTTGTTGAAGATGGCTGCTCACCTTGCCATTAAACACGACACGACGTTCATAGAGTCGAACGCGGGTCAGTTCAATGAGCCGGGCAGTGATATCGTTAAGAAAGCCAAACTGATCGCCGCTTTGATCATACGGTTCATCGACGCGCGCGATTGCGACGATCCGATGCCCATCTACTTGGATCTGATTGCCAATTGTGATCAATTTGAAGAACCCGTGCCCTCAGAGCACGAGGACAGCGCTGAGGAGGACGACAGGACGTCCGGTCAAGAGATGCGCCGTTCACTCAGACATAAGCGACGGGTAAGACATTTGTGACCCAATGGTGGCTTGAATTGTGTCCTAATGACTATGTCTATGAATATATAGCGTTTGAATTCTGATGAGAGCGCCGCCTCCGAAGAGATGTCCTCAAGACGTCGCAAACGACTGAAAACGGCGGGCGCCGACCAATCATACCGTCCCCGCACGTGGAAACAGAATTGTCTCGAATTATTGAATTACATTCTCGAACGCGAAGACTCGTCGGGTAAGGCCAGTGGGCACCTAGGTTAGGTTATGGGCCTGATGAGCGTCCACTAGCTGTGTGGGTACCTAAACTGCTGTCAATTCCTTGTCAACTATAGGCTAGAGATGCTCTCAGGGTTGCTCAAGAGCAAAGACATGCGTTTAGTGTTCTTCAACTCCAAGTCGTACAACACGAACAAGAAGTCGCGGATCTATTCGATGACTGTTCGCCTGTCGGGTCTCTTCGAGGAGAAGATCCGTCGAATTATCTCCGATTGGCGTTCGAACTGTAATTACGAACTCAAACTCAAGAGGGGAATCATATCGAAGCGCCGCAAACCCATCCCATTCAGCGGGTATAGCTGGTGAGCTAGCGGCAGATTTGCCAGCGGTTTATTTGCCATCCAAACCAACTCACTACTTACGCAAATCACAGGCAGGTAACTTACGTAACGGTTGAGTACTTACACACAAACATGTTGATTCAGGTCACGTCGGGCACTGTCCTCATCCATGTCCCCCACATTCGACTTGTCCGCGCCGTCCACTTCCGGCTACTCGAGTCGGAGTAAATCTAGTCTGACTCAAAACGCCAGAAGCAAACGAGTAGTCGCCGGCACTTCGACGGCCAGTCCTCGTAAGAGGGCTGCGGATAAACTCCGGAAGAACGCTGTGGCGAACGGGAGCCGTCGGGCCAGCGCTTCGGCCGTGAATTTCCGGTCGTTGCGCAGCACTGTTCCCGTCTTCGAGAACAACAGCTCGAGGACTAGCGGTCGCACATCCGGTCGATCGCGAGTCAGTCCCCGAAGTAGTCGTAGGAGTCATAAGACACCCAAAAAGGGTCGAAAACGTGTCATTAAAGAGGAGTCGACCGAAGAGGAAGCGGTCGATGAGGAGGAAGAGGACGAGGAGACAGAGAAGGATGACTCGAATGATACGTTTGGTGTGGATGTCGATGAGGACACCAATCAGAGCGAAGAGTTAGTCGAGCACTTGGACAGTGAGACTGAGATCGAGGACACCGAGAAAGACGGCCACCCATTGGAAGCGATCGATACGGACGCCACTGAGATAGAGGAGGACGAGCTGAAGCCACGGGCTCAGACATCGCGGCTTCGGTACGCCATTCATACTTCATATCTGTTTAATAACGTAATTAACTTTTTTATTTGTTTCCGTTTGGATCAGACGTCGCGGCAATAAGTCGTTAAGGACTTCATTTTCAGACCACTCCTACCCCATGACGTCCTCCAGAAGGACGGGTGTTATGTCGAGGAGTCGGCGTCTGAAGGCCTCTGAAGAGTCCGAATCGACTCAGTCGTCCTCATCGGCCAGCAATCACTCGAATGAGACGCAGACATCTGCGGTGACATCGCTGTCGGCAGTGATCAGTGGAGAGGTCGAGACCTCCGACCAGAGCTACCTGACCGACGAGAGCGATGAGTATAAGTCAGGCTCCCGGCGCTCCAAACGCCAAAGGCGTTCAATTAGCGACAAGTGGCGGAACACAGGTTATGAATCTGATGAAGACTTACGGCGAGTTAGTTTGGGTTTACGGCACCGGGGGCTCAGACAGAGCACCGGTAGGTTCGGAGATCCGGAGGCGCCAATCAAGACGAGGGCCAGAAATAGCGGTAAAAACAGAGTCCGATATACAGAGGCCCCCGGTTTTGACGACGAAGACTTCGAGTACGACAACCGACAGGCGCCGCATCTAAACGAACACTCCGTGAGCTCCAGGGGTAGAGTCCGTAAATTCAAAGGTCACGCCAGGTTCGGCACCGCCCCCTCCTAGACCACTGCCTGACCACTCATTGGTCTTTCCATTGGTTTATTTGATGACTGATTATATATAGTGTATAAGAAAGCAAACGTTTATTTTTATGTTTAATTGCTTATTAATTATCTATTTGTGTATTAATTTATGATTTTAATTAATTGGGCGCCGACTACTCGGCTCCCATTCACCCGCGCCTAACCATACAACCCATTATCATATTGACTGCACCCACAGCTCTAATTCAATATGAGTTTCTCTATACCCCTCCCCCTCATAACCAATTGATTGTATTATTTACTAAATTATTGAGTGAATCGACTGATAAAAACTGTGATCACAAACACATACCGATCCACTCAATGCTGCCGACTATTAGTTAAATAAATAAAAATCATTCATTAATTGACGAGTAATTAAAATACACATTAATTACATCTCAATGCTATATAAAACACTACAATCTATACACAGCTCTGTATAAATAGTTTCAAGAGTTTAAACCGATTTAAACTGTTATTAAACATAAAACAAATGATAAACAAATTATTGTAATTAATTTTTGATAGAAATTTTAAATAATTAAAAACAAGTTTAAGGCATTTCATGTGACTATTTGTGTTGATAATAACAACTAATAAGCGGACAGTTGTGTGTCAAGTGAACACCGGATTCGAGTTCCAGTACTCTTTGGTCTGCATTTCGGTCATTCGAGATATGGTTCGCTCGAATGCGAACACTTCCTCCTCACCGCTGAAGAGGTTGGCCTTCGAGTGCTCCTAAACCACGGATAATACCCGTCATTATAAGGATTATTGTTATTGGGGAGGCATTGGAGACATACCGTTCCGAATTTGATGTCCAAGTCATCCATTAGTTTGCGGTTATCGTCGTCCATGTGATGGTCGGCCACCTCCGAGGTTAGGAACAGTTGATTGGGCGGCACCTGAGCTGAGAACAACACACGAACCTTATTGTCATAAAAGGTGTCGATCAGTGTTATGAAGCGCCGGCACTGAGTTTTCTTAGATAAAGACATTTGCGGGATATTCCTGATGATCACCGTATGGAACACCAGCGACATCGTTAGGTAATCGATGGCACCCAACGGCTTCACAATGAGTTTCAAAGATTATTAGCGGAACAGACAGTGAGTGAATGGATGGAGTGGTGCACTACTGACCCGATCGCAGAGTTCTTGGAACGTGGAGTCGCAGACACGTCCGCATGTGTTCGCAAACGTCACGTTTCGCTCTTTGATTGTCAACGTCTTGGGACGGATGGTGTCGTTCTCGCGACTGGCTATCAGTTTGAAGAGACGATCCAAATGTTTGTCGGCGTCGTCTTCGAAACTGATATATCGACAGAAAACAGACATTTAAAGCACTTATTATTATCTCATAAACAGTGGATCTGAAGAACACATACAGATAGTAGACCTGTTTGTCGGATGGCAGTGACCGCTGCCGGTAATCGATACCGGAGTCCAGGGGTAAGACATAACAGTTCTCTTTGAGAATCGGAATAAATGGCAGAAAATTGCTTCTCTGGAGACCATTGCGATACAGATCTGTTGGACAAACATTGATAGTGTGAGACAATGCAGTGGACAGCCATCTGAGTGAGAGTGAGTGGTATACCATCGGGCGGTCGGTTCGATGTGGCGATCATAACGATTCCGGTGGCGAACAACTGCTCGAACAGTAGCTTCAGAATCATGGCGTCGCCGATGTCTGTCACCTGAAACTCGTCCAGACATAAGAGCCACGACTCGTCGCGTATCGATTGGGCCACCGATGCGATCGGATTGAAGGCCCGGTCCGACGACTTGTGCTCTTTCTTGAGACGATGCAGTCCTGCGCACCAAATGAGTGGTAATTAGATATCAATTGACGGATCAATTGAGTGAACAATGAATTACTGGTGTGGAAGTCAATCATAAACGAGTGGAAGTGGACGCGACGTCTGGCACCGGGATCTACACAGCAGTTGTCGTAGAAGAGGTCCATTAGCATTATTGACGGATCAATTGAGTGGACAATTAATTACTGGTGTGGAAGTCAATCATAAACGAGTGGAAGTGGACGCGACGTCTGGCACCGGGATCTACACAGCAGTTGTCGTAGAAGAGGTCCATTAGCATAGTTTTGCCGCATCCGACCGACCCGTGCAGATACAGCCCACGGACACGACCTCCAGAGTTGGACTTCTTAAACAATTTGTTTAAGAATGAGTTTCGATGTCTTATGGTTTGTTGATAATCAAAGAGTTTGACGTTCAGGTGATCCAAGTGGTCGACCACCACGTGCTGGTGCTCGTCCTCCCGGAGCAGTCCAGCCCTCACACGATCCTCGTATACGCTGAGCAAGTGGTTGATTACCGCAGCCCTCGAGTCACTCAACTCTAAGACGGATAATACGGACACCAATTAAGTGATAATCAGTTGGCGCTGTCTATGGCTTACTTCGGATCAGTTGCCTATTGATGGCAATGGTGTTGATGGTGAGCATCGCTTGTGAGCTTCACGAGTGGTTTATGAGATTAATGGTCGATCACCGGTACAGTTGACCACTAAGTATCACCAGTGGATCAGTTGCATTGAACGGGTGGTGAGTGGTGTGCGATTACAACGCTGTGATCAACACGTGTCTGAATGTGTCCATACGGTTGTGTTCACATGATATATGAAATTACCTTGAGCACTATATTGAATGATAACTGAAAACCATATGATTTGCTAAATAATAATAACAACAGTCTGTATGCGATTGCTATGGAAACCAATTCAGTAGAGTCTGTGTGTTATGTAATGCTTACGAGTGTTGACAGAGTAGTCATAATGATAACTGAAAACCATATGATTTGCTAAATAATAATAACAACAGTCTGTATGCGATTGCTATGGAAACCAATTCAGTAGAGTCTGTGTGTTATGTAATGCTTACGAGTGTTGACAGAGTAGTCATATAACTGTCAAAAGACTGCATTCATATCCATATGGTTTGAAATGTGGTTTACATTGCATTGGATTTGATTTGAATCGCTTTCAGACATAGCCACCAGACTATCAAACCATGGATGAGATACTGAGGAAAGTGGTGGTCGAGTGTCAGTCGGCACAGTTGGCACATATTGTGGGCCAATCGCACGATGCTATCGGTATGTTGTACATGGCTTTCACAGAATATTCTGTGATTATTGTTCATTAATTGTGGTTATATTTGTGTATTGAAGTGAATTTGTGTTTATATATTTGATGTAATATATAGTGTAGTTTTTGTTAATATTCTGTATAATTAAATATTCATATTCTGTACAGAATATTCTATAAGATAATAAAACAAGTATTGTTAGTATTTGTTAGTTTATACTCTATTCAATAGAGTCTATTGTCTACTGATATTCTGTATAAACAGTAATTAAATATAATAGTAAATACTCTGTATAATTAAGTAGCAATTGTATAGAATATTCTATAAGAATATTGTATTGATAATACTTGAAAATTTTATAATAAAGTATTACTAAAGCAGAATATTCTGAATATTATTAAACTAAAACAGTATTTTGATTACAAAATAATTTATTAATTGTGTTATGAATTGGTTTGTATTCAGAAATAGTTTGCGACAAAAGCTCTTTAATGCGGTTCCCTATGGAGGACGTGAGGGAACGGTGTTTTCAAGTGTTTAAGTCGTGTCTGGAAACCAGTGGATCCATGAATCGGCCAAAACTGATTCAACTGGTGGTCAATGGCATGCAAATGATGATCAGGGATCAAATGTATTGGTCGGTGACATGTAAGTATCATAATAATAGTTGTCTCGAATTGAATCCATTAATTGATTCGCCAATTGATAGCCCGTGAAGACGAACGACAACTACCGTCGCAACTGATTGGCTGTATTTCGGCAACGATTGGTCTCCAGAAAGAGTCCGTTCAGATGGAGTTGTTGTCGATTCTGGTAGAGATGTCCACTAATATACCATCGCTGGTGTCGGTCGACAACATTGAAGACATTATTGAGTTGTGTTGTACTTTGAGTGGCAGCCAGTCATCCAGTGATCACCGGATGGCTATGGAAGCGACCGCCAGTCAGTCATGCCATCAGTTCATCAAATATTGTCTCAATAGTGAGTGCAATGAATCGCAACTAAACGACGAGATTATACCACTGTTTCGACTGATTGCCACTAAACTCAACAGTTGTGATCACAATCACCACCAGAGCCAGAGCACCGGCAACGGCGTCGGTGTGCTCTTGAAATGTGTTCAGTATTTCCTCATTACTATCCCCAATGAGTCTCACATTATCACCGAACCGATGGTCGATATTATTTGGTAACCATAATGTGCTCTCATTTTTAAAATTAATTTTAATCAATTGTTTTCATATTCTACTAAATAGGGAGACATTGATCCCGGTGCTAATTAAACACTTAAGCGCTTCCCATATAAATCAAGTGGACATGAAGTCCAGTGGTAGTGACAGCTCTGTCACCCAATCCGCGCCCACAGCCGACGCTAAAAAGATGGGTCGCGGATCAGAGTCTGTCTCATCGGTCGACACGTCCTCCATATATAAGACATATATTTTCAAGTATTCAGTCGTTTGTCAAATGATTTTAATTTAATTTGATTTTTCGGTATTCATTAGAATTGCTTCCGAATTGTTGAGACTTTTTGGTCGAATCAGTTGTCTTCGGCCGGCACTGGAGTCACTATTTCATCGGATACTACTATACCCTCCGGTTTCGCAACGATTAGATGCTTTAAAGTGGATTCAAGAGGTATTTCTGACTAAATATTGACACTATTTCTGATAATAGTTAAGATAATTGTGTTGTAATTATCAACTGTTTCATAGGTCCTGAAGAATACATACCTTATAGTGAACGCAGCGGTCGAAGAGCCGGTGTTCGGCAAGAAGTCGCGCTCTAAAGACTTGGATCTGTTGCACATGTATTGCATTTATTGAATCAATTGATCGCTTTATGTCTTAAACTGATTCGTGGTATTGAATAGAGTTGTCGATTCGCTGGAAGAGTGCAGTCAATCCTCAGACACCACTATATCATCGCAGAGTATATCATCTGTTGTGGCATTTCTGCACTCTTTGCAGACAATCTGTCACTCGAATCAACTGAACGACAAAACCATTGAATATATCAACAGATTGTACGCCACTGTCGAAGACGCAGAGTTTGAGGGCTTCGATGTCCGCAACGGTCGACACGATTCTGTGGATAAGTGTTGCGCCGATGAGTCCATTCAGACGAGTGTCTCGTTTGAAGTGTTGAAGAAGCGAATCGTCGGTTTCGATGCCAACGAGGAGATGGATAGGGATCTCAATCACGAGTTGACCGGTGCGGACACAACTGTCCAGAAGCGGACCTTTCAGAAGACACATCTCAAGAACTTTAAGCTCGAGTCCTATAAATCAAAACTTAAGGAGATTTTGTGCTCCAAGTCTACGGACAGCGACGGTGTCGACGATACCCCGCGATCTGAACCAGAATCAGGTGTTGTCGCCGGCGATGATAATGTCGTTACCGGTGAGGAAATTACTGAATCCAATGAATGTCAGCCAAAGGCCGAGGGTTTGCCGCAAACGGAAAGCGTTTCGACTAATTATGAAGAGGCGGAGGAATACCAGAAGACCTCTTCCAACACCAGTTGCTGTACTGAAGGTCCGGAACCGGAAGAATGTGTGGCAACAGATCAGATCTTCGGCGGTGATCGGCGCGAGTCGACTGCCGCTAATGGCAGTCATTACGTGAATGTTGAGCGCAATAACGCCCGCCGTTTCGTCGGTTCTCTCAAACACTTTTTGCCGCAACTCTTGTCTCTGCGGACGTCCGTCGAGGCCGACCACGCGTTACAAGTGTTTTCCTCCGACTACTGCACCGGTAGGTCATTGATTCCTATAAACTATTTTGATATCATTTATAATTGTATTAATATTTCATTTCTATTTTTTACTAACTTTTAAATATAAAATTGTGTTAATAATTGATAGATCTATGCGAACAACAAAAACTTACAGCCAGTACTAACACTAACGGCACCGGTATTACTACCGACAATGAGCGCACACAAGACAACTCATACAACCAAATGCCGCTAATTATTAACAGCGATGGCATCTATTTAGCCACTTATTCGGTGCTTTCACTAAACCTTAAACTAATTAACACTAACTTTTACACCAATTCCTGTCTAACCATTCCCTTAACAGAGGTATTCATTCTATCATTTCTTACATCCATTTCCCTTATTCTGTATTTTATTATTAAATGATCCAGCATTATTGCATTAATTTAATAACAACCAATATTATATATCGTAATTACCAATTAGTTTTGAAAATTTAATATTTAAGTAAGCATTTTTTGTATGAATTTTATAGCAAGAATTTATTGATGAGATTCACAGCACCGGTATTCTTGTATACATATCTGGCTATTGGTTGGCAGAGCTCTATCAGACTGTTTTAGCCGACAATCTATTAGAGAACGCCGGCTATCGATACGGAGAGCACCAGAATGTGGCCCTCATTAACATCTTAACAGGTATTTCAACGATATTTTTAAGGATTGCCGACTAATACCTATACATCTGTGGTAGACATGGATGGACTGGACAGTTGCGAACCGGGAGCTCAACGACTGTCCGATTACCGGCGCCTCGAGAAAACAGTCACTACTCGAGTGGACCCGGAAATGGATGCCGAGCACAGAGCCGCCGCTCATAAACTGGTGCGCCGGCTATTGACAGCCTTTTGGGACACAATACTCGGTTGTTTGGGAACAGTATTTCGATCTGACCCTGGTATCAATAGTGAATTGAGTGCACTGTTAGGGAACGACACCAAAGCAATGGTTGCCAGGAAATCTATGGTATGTTCCCAAATATAGAGACCAGTTTTCTGGTGATAATCAGCTCTTTTTATACATTGATTCCTGATTTGACTTTTCAGATCACTTCCAGTTTAGATGGTTTACAAATGGCAGCTAAACTGTGCATAGAGTTGGGCATACAGTCCCGGTGCGATACGGTGTTTGAGTTGTTGGCCTTTTCGGTGATGGACTCCAGAGCTGATCCGTTGAGCGATTGTTCGACGAATAAACGAAAGAGTGGACACAAGAAGCGGAGTGTCATCGAAGTCATCAAAAATCGTTTGCCATTCAGTTTACACACATCTCATGTGTTGAGTCTTCAGGTTTTAACACTTTTATTGAATTAATTAACAGAATTTGACAGAATATTCTGTATAGAAATAGTTATGAATTGAAAATTACTGTATAGTTAAGTGCTGTTTATGTGATAAATAGGTTCTCTTAAGTTGTGGTCTTGAAATGGGCAGTCATTGTCCTGCCTGTTGGCCATACCTCTTCCGGTGCTGTCAGTTCATCACCGAATTAGAGCACAATTACTTCCACTCGAGACACTCTTCCCTCCTGAGCAGCACCCGTACGTCACTCTCATCCCTCATCAAGTCATCGGCAGCTAAACAGTGTGACCCGTATGTAACGGCCGGCGCCGACACCACATCAATGCCCGGACTCAATGAGTTCGAAGAGTTGAATACTGAGACCTGTATTCGCGAACTGATCCAAGAGACCACTTCCCAGACCAACGATTGCGTACTTAAAGTAAGTCTTATATTTAATAAACACCTAAAGGGCTGTTCAATAAGTCTATTGATGTCCGTATTGTCTCTGAAAGGACCGCCAATTAGAGCGAGTGTTAGACATATTGTCTCATTTGGTGGACCTATTGTTTGAAGACGCGGCCAATCAATTGAATCTGCGGTCACTTCAGGGCTTCCTTCAGGAGTTATGTCTCTGTAGTCGAGAACAACTGTCCAATCGATCAAAGGTATGTTCCATACTATGCCTTTCCAGGTATGCCTACTGTTACTCAATAATTGTAATTACTTTATAAACTTAACAAACAGTCGGAACCCAATGGCGGACACACCTTCTCAGGGAAATCACTGCTACTGTTCCGTCTGTCAGATGTGATACTACGTACGGCACGCTCGGGTCGACCCGTACTCCACTTCATGAGCTGCTGGTCCCCAGTGGGCGCCCACCTCACCGAAGCGGCCGCCCATTGGGACCCATTGGTGGCCAAGAAGTCGGTGTCTACTTTGCACGACATAATCAACGTGTTTCTGGGGGCGCACCCGGAGTTACCGCACTTCCACTTCAACGAAGCCCTGTTTAAGCCCTTCGAGAACCTACTGGTGCTCGAGATGTGCGATACGGACGTACAGGAGCTGGTCGTCAGTTCCATCTGCGAGTTCGTTGAGGGGGCGACCGAAGACATCCGCAGTGGTTGGCGTTCACTGTTTGGAGCCCTCCGGGGCGTACGGTTGCCCTCAGGCCGGGGGTCAGTTCACGGGTCGATGGGCTGCGATGCTAAGGAACTGGAGGCTGAACGGGTCCGCCAGTTGCGCGTCATTTTGGATATATTTGAAGCCTTTTTAAGGACGGATAACCTCCAGGTGTTCGCCAACGCAGCCATAGACTGTGCGTTGTGTCTGATTAGACTCATTAAGACACAGCAATCGATGCCGATTGGCGCACATTTAGGTAATTATTTGTCATTCACTCGCACCGGTATTTAATGGGACAGACACTTCATACTTGCATATGTTTCAGATGAGTCTAATGGCACGGAATCGGCGCCCGATTTGTGTCTAATTTCGTTGAAATATTTGCATCAGTTCTCATCGATGTTGCGGTCGATGTATCGAATGCCTGCCTGTCCTCTGTTCTCGGCGCACAAGTTAAGGCACACGACCAGAGTTATAGATACTAGCCATTTAATAGATACCGGCGCTGTTGGTGATAGAGAGCTGCCAATTGTGATAACTTTAGAGCAAATGGACAGACCTAACAAAATACTTCATATTTGGTTCCTATTAATCGATGAGTTTTTACAAAGTGTCCAAAAGTGTGACCAAAAGCACTGCACCACTGCTATTGAAATGGTGTTTCAATGGCTCAATGATCTCATCGAAATACCCGGTATATTTTTATCCCGGTACAAATTTATTAAATAATTTTATATTTCCGGTCATTTTAGGACCAAATTTTGCCATTTATTGTACAAATCATATACTTCTGCCTTCACTACAACTAATGACAAGACAATCATTAGAATATCTGGAAGCGGGTCATACGTGTCCACCACCACGACCCGGCTCACTGTCCACTCTTAGGCATCTATATGGACTCACAGCTGATCTTATAGTGAATAATATCCGGCAATTGAATAACGAGTCAAATGGTTGTGATTTATCCGATAATCCAATCGTTGGCATCGATTTAATGCTCAGACAATCGCTGTTAGTATACATCGAGACATTAAACGGCGAGTACCCTGAGCCTATTGCCAAACTTAGCTGTGCCTGCATTCGGTCTGTTATTATCATCACATTTATGTCTTAAAGCCTTTGTTTTTCTGATTTTCTGTTTATTTTCTATTTTAAGACATATATTGTTATCAGTTGTCAATCAATTCAATGATAACTTATGGCAAATAACTATCGATTGTCTGGCGATTGGCCACAGAATGACATTACACTCGTTGCAGACATTAGTTAATGTGTTTCAGAAGACAAGCAATCACTTTCTGGACGATTTGGATCAGATTCAAGTGATTTGCAAACGCAATGTCAACCGTAACCACGAGGACAGCAATCACTTGTGCCGATTAGCGCATCAAATATTCCTATTGGAAGCCCAGAGGGGCACCGGTAGTGTCAGTGGTGGTGGTGTCGACACTTGGAAGGGTGTGTTCGATGGCGCCAACAATTCTGTAGTCGGAGAGAACCGTTCGTTCATTTTTGTGATCAATTCCGGTGATAATCCTCAGACGTAATGATCTTCACATTCATTGTCTTCAGTATTTCATTTCAAATTGATTTGTGGTTATAGTGTGTCGTTCCGAGTACTGGTCGTCCAACTGACTGCCCATTGGCTGCTATTGCAGACACTGTCGGTCCTACTTCTGAAAGGGATCCGACCTCTGATGCCAAACCTCGAGGTGTTAGCGGATTCGTGGGACGAGTCGTGCAAACCCAGTGTCCGATCTATGAGTGCTAACCATTGCAAGGATTTGTTGTCACTATTGGGCCACACGTATAGGTTTGTGAGCAAACATTTAGATAACTATCACCCAATTAGATCCACTAATGGATGATCATTGAAACGGTTTTGTGGTATAGAATCGCCTTTAAGTTTGACTCAAAACCGAGTCTTAAGTTTTTGATACAAAAGATGAGTCGATCGGATGTGCCGTCAAATCTGTATCAGTTCTCATCACTCGTATGGTCCGTACACTTCTGCGTCTGTCTATTCCTCAGCAGCTGTGACACCGCTGACGGACACGAGTTTAGCGATCGTTTAAGAAAATCATCGTCTGATTTGTGCCAAACATATACACAACGGGTTAAGAGTATTGTCGAGAAGAACCGGAAGAATGAGCCCACGATTGATAATATCAGCCGTCAATCGCTTCATTTTCTTCGCGCTTCTAATGAAGAACTGCTTAATATTATCACTACTTATAACATAAAAAGGAGTTCCGCGGCTCAGGTATCCGACACGAAGATATCCAATAACGTGGAGACAATTGAGACAAATAATGATGAAATGAATGGTAAGCATAAGATAATTGAATCTTACGATTGAAGTTAATTATCATTATTTGGATTCGATGTCCAAAGGATTAAGTGATACTCAATGCGAAGATGTGTTTGAAGATGACATCCAAGTGTACGGTTTGGTGACTGAGAGACGGAAGGAGTTAATGATGGCTGAGTACAAGAAGTATAAGACACAGCACTCACCTCTCCCTCCGCCGACACCGACCGGTGCTGACCATAAGAGTATCTCCGAATCCAGTGGTGATCCCAATGACAAAGAAAGAGAGCGTTTTGTGTTAATGGTTTGTATTCAGAATTAAGTTCTTAAGTATCAATAGTTTATGAGAATATTCTTTACAATCGATGTGTGGACGGGTAGGACACGGAAGCCTTCACTGGCCTCTGGAGTGAAGTCATATCGTCGGCACTTGATCTCCATTTAGGTCTTTCGGTAATTGGATTCAAGCGATTGGTTCCCGAGTTATTGCCGTCAATACAAGAATTGGTTGTCAATTGCGATGATAATCGTCTCAGAAGTCGGATCTCACAATGGATTACGAGAATGGCGGAGATATTTGTCGACAAAAATGAATGAAATGTTTAAAAAATATTTTTCATCTTATTTATTATAAGTTTTATTATACTTATTATATATTTGTTGTATTTCGAGTAAATTTAATAATAATTTTTTGTTCAAATTATATTTAAAATAAAGAATCTAATTCTAATATATCATTCTTAACCGTTATTAACAAGGTAAATAAAGGTTTCATATGATTTTGACCTTAAGTTTTTGATGCCATAAATGATTTCTAAATTGCACTTTTATTTTATACTTTCAACTTATAACTTTATCCACATACTTTATCATTTAAAACTTGAAACATAAAAAAATAGTTTCTTGAATTTTTACTGTTAAAATATTTTGAATATGCTAATTGATAGTGTCTTATCTAGACAATTATTAGGTGGAGATTAAGGCATTGTACTTTTAATTAAAGTGCAATACTATTAGAATTTATATTCTTATAGTACCTTATATTAATATTTGTTAAGACCTTTAATCTCACAATTAAGTCAATTCCCTCTAATCTAATCACATATTATTCGTAAATTTGATTTAATAGTTACCACAACAACACACAAGTGTTGAACAAAAGTGAAATATGTTTTACTTATTACAAAATAAATGCTACTTAAATATTTGATAGGTTACATAATAGCATTACTATTTAAAAATAAATTCTTTGTTTACAATGTATCATATTATTTCACTTATTTTTAAAACTAATTTTTTTAATACATGTAATGCTATTAAAGTATTTAGGTATTAAAGTATTACCTAGTTATATTAAGGTATATTAAGGTATATTAAGGTATAAAGTATTAAAGTATAAAGCTATTTAGGTAATACATGTAAAACATGTCTAGTTTGTTAGCAATGTTTTAATGCCTTGCTTGTTACTCAAACAAAACTTTAATACATGTTTAACGAGTGGTTAAAAATTATCATTTAATTAAAACAATGGCAACAAATAATCAATCGGTGGAAAGGGGTCACAAGTGGTCGGCCCTATTGACCAAACAGGAGAACTCAATCATAAGTTCATTATTAGGGGATGACTGCAGAGTAAGTCCTAAACATGTTGTCTGTATAAAGAATTTCACTAAACTTTTATAACTGTTTTGTAGATTAACTCAATTAATACTTTATTTCTATGGGACAGACATTATCGACAACATTAGTACAGATATTGGTGTCGATGCAGCCCAACGACCAGCACTGGCACATACAGGGCATAGGTATTGCATGTCTGGTCACTGACGGGAACCACAACTACATCCGTGTCTACGATTTCGTTGAGAAACAACAACTCTTTGAACACAAACTGACAGAAGGAATGGTATACAACCGACCACTGGATCTGTTCCACACATTCGAGACGCCCGACCGCTTGATTGGCCTTAATTTTGCTGATAAGTTAGAGGCCATACATTTCGGCGATACTGTGCGCACACGACTGTCCCCTGAAGTGAAACTCAAGAGCAGTCAGTCCACGGAATCCATTAATAGTATTGGCGGTAGTCTTAAACGGTTGGCCGATAAGGTGTACGGCTTTGTGGACAGGCGTGCGGTGTGTTTCATAACTAATTAAAAAGTGAAAAACTATTTATAAAAACTTTTTTCTAATTCATAAGACATTAGAGAGTATTAAACAAAAGCTGACGAAAGCAGACATTGAAA